TCTTATCGAGGTCAAACTCCATGATGAATACAGCTTTGATGCAGGAGGCTTCAAAGTAAGCCACAGCTAATAGTTGCTAATAAAGCATCTTCTGACCTAAACTCTGAATGTACTGAACTTTTCCTTCCTCTTGCTGTTAATCAGCTTATTATCATTATAACTAATAATAATTAACAGCCATACTAGACACAGATGTTCATTTCTGTAAGCTTGTCTGTCTCATGAGTGGCTACATTTATTTAAGTAAAATACAATAAAAGTACATTTTATGCTACTTTATACTTGGACTATTGTACTTTTCACTCCACTATATTTACCTGGCAGCTATAGGTACTACTTTTCAGATGCAGATTTTATATAAAAACACATATAATAGCTAAAATACAATGCACTGTTTGGGCCTCTTTTTATATTTCAGATGTCATTTGTTAGCAGTTCCACCAAAAAGACATTTCCCCTCTAAACTTCTCAGATGGTTTCAATTACATAACAGTTTGTAGCCAAAATAAGTAAAATTCAACCTTGTGAGGCAGCTGGAAATGAAAGAATAAGAATAAATCTTACCAGGCTTTAATCTTCCCAGATAGTTCTGTGTAACAAATCATCTAGTGCAGTCCGGTTTAAAAAAATAAAACAAAGATTAGAGAAAATTCCCAAAAGTGAATATAAATCTGAATAGCAGAATTATTTCTTACCACATTAATCATCTCATGACCCCTCAGATTTATCTCCTGAACCTTTAAAGGGGGCCCCACCCTTAGGTTGGGAACCACTAGACTACTTTAACAGTGTAAGGTAGTTAAATTAGCTTCACCATGACCATATAGTAAAATACTGCTCAGACAATGACACATCAATAATAACCTAATCATGTAACAAATGATAACATATCATCACAGGGACATATTCCCACAGAATGACTACATTCAGTTTACATTTGGATGATAATACCTCTGTGCTTTCATTTAAGTAGGAGTTTTAATACAGGACTACTTTTTCTAAATATTGAAATGCTGCATACTGCAAGAATAATAAGAACAAGAATACAATAACAAGAATACAATAATATGATTTAGCTGTTAAAGTATATGATATTATTTTATATAGTCTATTATATAATTAACACTACATACAATGAAAGTACATTTTGCTGATAATATTTATTTTTTCTCATTTTTTACTACCAAACTGTTCTTACCACTTCTTCCTACTGCAACATATTTATGTTTTTCTGTGTCATCCTTACATGCCTTGCATACCACAGCGAAGATGGTTCCATGTCTGGAGCTCTTTTCTTTTTTTTTTTTTTCTTTTTTAGAGGCATGAACACCCTGAGCTGTTTCCACCAGGAGCATTCAGACCAATGGTGAACAGACTCTGGACAGAGAGAATAATCTCTGGTTGAAAACATTCCCACATCTGGTTTTGATTTAGGCTTTACAGTGAAAATCTGACTTTTAAAACTCCAGTGCAGGGCTTTCCCACTTGATGACTAGAGACTCAAAGGATTGTCGTTCAGGTTTGTGTTGTTTATGTCCACTGCTCACATATTTTCCCTGTATTCCCATTTTGCCCCTGTCTTGAATTGTTTATTACTGACTGGGGTGGAGTGTGGTTGAGAATTAATTACTTTACAACGGCCATGAAGATAGACTGGTAGCAATAACACCCTTTTGGATGTAAACCAAAGGTAGAAGGTTTACATCCACATGAATAAGTTTCAAACAAGGACAGCTGACTGAGATATTTCTAAAGACCATCTTGTTTAAAAAAGCTCTTGTTTTCTCTTAAGAAAATAGTTTTAAATCCTGTAATTTCTGTCTAAATTAAGAACTAAACTAATAAATCTCAAAAAGTCAAAAGAAAGGTTTTGTATTTACTCAAAACAGGAGACTGAATTTATCATTAAAAACTTACTTTTAAGGCAGACATAAATCTTCATTATTAAAGTTCAACATATACATAGTAAGTAAGTAGAACAAACAAGACCTTTTACACCAACAGGGAACCGGCTCAGTTCGGGATCAAGCACCTAGTTTGAACCATTCCAAACATTTCAACTGAAAATAAATTGGTTAAGAACCTGAAAAGTTGGTTTCTAGCTAAAACAAAAAATAGCAGGTTTTCTTTGGGCACCAAAGTGGATCGGTGTCATATTCTGAAGGTCAGTGTGCATTGTGCAGCGCCCTCTGTTGAGGACACATCCGATTACTATGGTTAGACTCAAAACTGGTGGAAACACAGGCTGGTTCGCTAGATAGCACCAATGATCTTGAATAGAACCGGTTCAAGAACCAGAAGTAATTCGGTGGAAAAAGGGGCCTTAAGAGTCTCCAGCCGTGCAAGCAGCTCTGTCAGGCTGGGGTGTTTTCAGCTAAATGCTAACATCAGCATGCTAACATGTTCACAATGGCCGTCACAATAGACAGCAGTCATTTTGACATTAAATAGTAGGGTAAACACCGGTGTTACCAATAATACTGATTAAGGTTCTGTTCCATTTAGTGTAGCAAAGCCTTTCCAGTGAGCCAACATGCACAACAGCAGCACCCTGACTCTGTTTGACCTGAATGGAACAGAACCTTAATATGTATCATTGTTAATGCCTGTGTTTACCCAACTATTTCATTGTCAAAACGGCTGCTGTGAAAAAGGTCTGAGGTTCAGCAAGTAGCCTATAATGTTCACCATGTGAGGAGAGCTGGCTCAGTGGGCACAGAGCTGGACTCTCTGGTGACAGTGGCAGAAAGAAGGACCCTGGACAAACTGC